ACGCCACAAGGTAATTGAGACCAACCCTAAGCTCCTCGTATCTCCGTTCTAAAGGTAACCCCGATTATTGCTAACTTAAGCATCGGAGTGTCTACTCCGAGGATCCACCTCGGGGCTCTGCAGGTCAATCCAAAGTACGGTTGCGGACTGAAGAAGGACTTCCGGTTTGGTGCAGTTACATTTTGGCGCCGTCTGTGGGAACCTGAATTAAAGGCTCCTTTGTTGCTCTTATCATGGTTAGAACTAGGTCAGCCCGAGGAGGAAACTCGTCTCAGCCTCTTAGACGAGGTCAGGCCCCTAGCAACCTTCCGCCTCATCCTCCACCCCCGATTCCACATACAGTCCCTCCTGTTGATCATGCAGAAGGCGAAGACGAAAATCAACCACACAATTCGGTTCATAACTCAGCCTCCACCGCTAATCAAGACGTGGTTGCGACTCAGCTTGCTGCCATGCAACAGCAGTTTGGTGTTTTTCAGCAAGTGCTGGCTCAGTTGTTAGCCCGAAACAATCCTGGTGACCCACTCATCAATCTACTTAATCCTGCCCCACCACCAAATCCTGAACCAGTTCAACATGCTCCCGCTGTTAGTGAATCTCAGGGCCAATCTCACATGGCACCAGTTCAACAACCTCCTCATGATGATGTCACTCGACGTCTAGATAGTTTAGAAAGGTTAGTGGTCGAACAGCGAGGTGTCCCACCCCCACATCCTACTGCTAACTCCGTCCCTCACCCTCTCAACACCAATATTGTACTGGAACCCTATCCAGCTGGTTTCAGAATACCACAGCTTGAAACTTATGATGGGACGAAGGACCCCGATGATCATCTACATGCTTTCTACTCTTGTATGCAGGCCCAAAACGCCTCTGATGCGTTGATGTGCAAAATCTTTCCCTCTACTCTCCGAGTTTTCCAGTAGAAGGTTGATAAGGAAAACCACTTCCGAGTTAATGCGAGTCAAGCAGAGGGATGGAGAATCTCTGAAGAATTTCATGAGCAGGTTCAATGATGCAGTGCTAGAGGTTAACTCTTTCGACCAAGCAGTGGGAATTACGGCTGTGATCTCAGGTCTCGGCCATGACAGATTCAGAGAAAGTTTGCTTAAGCATCCTGCCACCACCTTCAGTGAGGTAAATGATCGATCGCTGAAATTCATAACTGCTGAGGAATATGCCCTGTCACAGAACCTTACCTCTGTTAAACACCAACACCCGGGCTGGAGAGATGAGAACCCGAACAGGAAAAGGATGAAGACGCCACAGAACCGAGGTCCAATGTCGACTTCCGTCCCGCAGTTCGGAAGGCCGAACTCAGCGCCTCCGCAACAACCTGCAGGTAAAACTTCAGTCAATTGGACTCCTTTTAATTTACCAAGGTCACAAATCTTCATGCAGATTAAGAATAAAATGGACTTACGACGTCCGGGTCCAATGAGAACTGCTGCTGCTACCAGAGACCATACACGGTATTGCGATTTTCATCAAGATCACGGTCATACAACAGAACAATGCAATAGTCTGAGATCCGAACTGGAAAGCCTGGCGCAGAAAGGAATGCTGAATGAGTACATCCAGAGAGTTGAGCAGCCACGATTTGTCAGGGAACAGGGAACACAGCATCAAGGAGTCCGCAATCCCCCAAACAGGCAAGGTGTGGGATATCAGCAGGCCCCACCACCACTTCCACCACCAGCTAGAGTCATACACATGATTACGGGAGGTCTGGAAGCAGGTGGACTGAGCTCTAAACAGAGAAAGTTGTATGTCAGGGAGGTTAAGCACCAGAACCGGGCTCAGAAGCGAAAGTTTGACGATGCTGAGTGGAAGAATCAACCCATCACTTTCACATCTGCTGATCTTGAAACAGTTGTCACACCTCATAATGATCCCCTAGTTACTTCCGTCACGATCAACAATTGTGAAGTGCAACGTGTCCTTGTTGACACCGGCAGTGCACCAGACATCATGTACTTCCATTGTTTTGAGAGTCTTGGGATAGATCCAGCTCTGTTGCAGAGGTATGATGGTCCCATCTACGGGTTCAACAACCAACCAGTTCCAGTCGAGGGAGTACTTACCATGAATGTTGCATTTGGGAGTGGCCGAAGTTATGTGACCCCTACGGTGCGGTTTTTAGTGGTCAAGATGGCGTCCTCTTTCAACGTTGTCGTTGGCCGACCTACACTAACCGAGATCCGAGCTGTGGTTTCCCAGTCTCATCTATGCATGAAGTTTCCAACCCCTACGGGAATAGCAACATTGCGAGGCAACCAGGAGGTGGCCCGGCATTGCTACATCACCTCGGTAACACAACCTCAGAAGGGCAAGACTCAGACACCCGAGATTAATGCCAGCCAGATTGTTGATGATCGACAAGTTATGGGTGTTGAAATCATAGATAACCGACCAGAGGATGAAACCAGAGCTGCTCCAGTTGAAGATGTAGAGGAGGTGCAGATTGATGACAGAGATCCGAGCAGGAAAACGCAAATCGGGACTAAATTAAACCCGGAGGAAAGAGCAGAGTTAATAGCTTTTCTTCGGGCTAATAAAGATGTCTTTGCATGGACTTCAGCAGACATGCCGGGAATCCCCCCTTCAGTTTTTCAACACAAACTCAGCACCAATCCCCTCAAGAAACCAGTAGCACAGAAGCGACGTCTCTTCGGAGGGGAGAGGCTAAAGGTTATTAAAGAAGAAGTCGAGAAACTCCTACAAGCCGGCTTCGTCAGGAGGGTGGATTACTGTGAATGGGTCGCCAATCCGGTGTTGGTCAAGAAAGCAAACGGTAAGTGGCGAATGTGCATCGATTACACTAACCTCAACAACGCATGTCCAAAGGATTGTTATCCAATGCCAAACATTGATAAACTAGTGGAGGCAGCTTCGGGGAATGAAAGATTGAGTCTCTTGGATGCATACTCAGGTTACCACCAGGTCCCAATGGCTCCTGAGGATGAAGAAAAAACCTCATTCTATGCTGGTGATGAAATCTATTGCTATGTAATGATGCCCTTCGGCTTGAAGAATGCAGGCGCCACTTACCAGAAGATGGTTACCATCGTGTTCCGAGCTCAGATAGGACGGAATCTGGAAGTGTATGTTGACGATATAGTGGTGAAGAGTTTGAAAGCCGACAATCACTTAACCGATCTTGAAGAGACATTCAACAACCTCAGACAGAATAGAATGAGGTTAAACCCAGCCAAATGCATCTTTGGTGT